AACTTTAGCTTTCATGCAGGCTAAAATTATCCCAACCTAGTAAGGACATTGGAGATGTATGCTTGTATTACTTGATTTACCCAAGATATATATATTTTTTTCAATAATTTAGAATATAGACACATTAACCTGGTCACAAGAACATATACATGAGCATACTGTCCTACAACTACTGTGGGGGTTGTTCTGCCCACTTTTGTGCCAACCACCAGAAGAAAAAAAACTAAATGTGTTAAGCGCAAGCGGAGATGTGCAGAGACAAAACTGTGTTGTTCTCATTTATCTTAATTTCTTTCTTCAGTGGCAAAATAGGGGCTATTCAATTTGGCATGCAATATACTCTTTAAAACACCTGCAGAAATGAAGTCACACTGTTGCCTTTAGAAGCTACGATTTAAGTAGAAGCTGAAAGCCATTTCCTTGGTCTGAATTGAAAGTTGGTTGCGTAAGTAGCGCAAGCGAGGTGTTAATGCAACAGTAGAAAATGTGTTAACAATGAACGTTTAAAAAGAAAAACTATGGTGTCAGCCCCCCACCTTGTACTGAGACAAAAAACACTCGTCTGCCTAGACTGGTGCGGCTAGCAGGCCTGCCACTCTGGAGCAGCTGGCAACTGTACAGGGCACTGTCATTGGGTTGCAGCCGCTGTAGGGTCAGTTTGTGTGTGATGCCGCCCGGTCCAGACTCAGAGGACAGCTCGACCCGCTCGGCAGGGAACTGGGAATGGACGCCATTGTGGTGCCACTTCGAGTGGTATACAACCTCCACAGGAGCTCTGCCTCTTTTTCTCTTTAAAGTGACTCCTTCCACAGCTAAGTCTTCATTGTGTGGGGCGAAACAGGGAATCACAGTCGAGCCCCCAGCACACATCCCTATCAGCTCTAAATCCATTGGGCTTGGGATATCTCAGAAGGGGGAGAAAGGGGATAAAAGTGACGTAAAAATGCAGGGGTCCCACAATAGTTTACAACAGTTTACACCTAGGTTATGGCAAAACAACCCAAACACATGGAGTTATATGATGCTTTTCAAAACACTGAAATGTACAAATTAACCTTTTTTTTTATTTATTTTTATCAAAATGTACTTGCTTCTCAAAAATAATCACACACTGTTTTGTTCATTTCATGAGTGCAGAATTGAAAACATTCCATTTAGATCTTTTATTGATCTGAACACTGGTGCCATCAACGGCTATGTTCATAAGTCTGCCATACCAGATTGTTTTGAGTCACACTTAGAAACAGATACAAGAATATTTCTGTAGAAATGTAAACCAATGTGCGATCTCCAGTTTAGTGAATCCATCAATGTCTTATCTTTTAGGTAGGGATAAAGTATTCAATTTCACAGACGGAACACCCTCAAAACTGCAAAGAGAACTCTGGACATTTTACTGGAAAAAAAAGCCAGCAGAGCTTCTCTGGGTACCCATCGTGTTCTTTGATCATTGATCATCTTCAATGATCAATGGAAAAAACTTCCCAAAAAGAAATATCATGTCCAGGGAGAGTGTCATCAGCTACTGCTGTGACAGATGCTGTAACAAATAAAAATGTCTGAATGCAGACAGTGATCTGTGCATGCTTCATCACCACAAAATCATATGTTATATGACGAAAAAACATAATCAGGTTTCAGTCAGCGAAAAGATGTTCACTTTTATGTGCTCAGTGACAGTGCAATTTAGCTTCCTGTTTGGGACGAACGGGTAATTTGTGTTAGGATTGCATGAAATAAGACAAAAAGTACACTTACCAGCACTGACAAGGAGGAAGAACTCAGTCGTTCCTGGAATCCTTTCATCTTCAGAGGAAGCTCTCTTCACAATATACTCACAGATGTAGCGGTCAGTGTCAGATGTCCTCAGGTTAGAAATGGTCACATCAACAGAATAATTGCTTGGGTCTCCATTCAAACTGATCCTATTTTTATCAGTAGGGTTGGATGCACTGAAGTCAAACTTGGTGTACTGGAAAACAACTTCAGTGGCATTCAACCAGATGCGTTTCAAGTAAAAGGCAATGGGTGGTGGGATCCTTTGGTCAATACGACAGGGAAGTACCACAGACTCCCCCTCGCTTCGCTCGATGAACTTGATGCCACTACAAACTGGACACAAGTCAGGGGTCACAAACTAAAACACATCAAACATACTAGGAAACTGAATTTTAAAAAAGAATTTAGAAAGTGTAAGAGAAAAATGGAACTGTTAATATCTGAATGTTCTACAAAAGAGTTTTCTAAGGTCCAATTTTGCCACTGCCACCTTTTAACTGTTCGAAAAAATATTAAAGAATACACCAGTAATCTAAAATAGTTGAGAGGCCATTTTCATTTTGTCAGTGTTATGTGTGTGACTCTGGTATATGATACCAGAAATACTGAATTTACTAATGAACATCAAAAACCCTCCAAAATGAGCAAACTCAAAGTATTTTGCTCAAATAAATAGTACATAAATGGGAAGTTTTTTGTCATTTAATTTCGTGCCATAACCCTTGATGTAATAAGCTGAAAACCTTTTCTCTGTCTTCATTCCTTTCTGTAACCCGTTGTTCATTCGAATATCAAGAAAGACGAAAATAACATAACAAAAAGCCAGAAAGTACAGGAATGTCTAAAATTTCACTGCAATTTTTAATCAGAACTGAAAAAAAAATTGTTTTTATTGCCGACTGCACTTGTTAGAATTTTTTTGGTCAAAATGTAAAGATCTGACTTTTATTCAGATCTTCATGTATACAGGGTGTTCTGTCTCAACGTTTAATCATGGCTTAGCCTAAACACAACTTGAATTCTGCAAAAAAATGTAAATCAACAAAACATAAGCCATTTCAGCTATCCAATCCCAATTTCTAAAGACAGACAGTTCATGGTCTTGTTACGGTATGGAAAACACAATTTCTGATCAGCAGTGTAACTTTCCTATTCCACTTTTTCTTTCTTTTTTTTATATACTCCCATCTTTACTGAATTCTAGACCAGAATAACTCCATTTCCTGGATATTTACAGAAAGTGTGAACATATTAGTTACCAAAAATAACCAAAGGTATCTAATCTTGGTCTGTGTTGAGTTAATTTTCTCTGAAAATGACTACAGCAATTCTTTAATTGTAAAGTGGACACATTCATATTAGACCAGCTTGACGGCAGAACAAAACTCACCAAACTCAGTTTGTATGATGGCAAAAGTCCAAAAACAAGCCAGGTACTGTCTCCCAATCACCATTGTTACCACAATACACTACAGATGATTCAAATCATGCAGGCACTCAAGAGAAAATGTCAAAACACGGTTAACAGTAAATGAAACCAAGAGGAACCCTATGAAACTCCACCTTAAACCTCAAGGGTTGTGCAAGAGGAAGCAACTACTAACCATCATCACGCAGATTGGCTCGACTGCTTCAGCAGCAGTTAACTAAATAACGAATGCTAAATATGACATGCTTTAAGAAAAGAAAGTGTAGGATCATAAAGCATAACCCGCACAGCAGCAACCATTGTGAACCTAAAGATCCCTCAGCAATTATTTCTGTCTGTTTCAGGTTCCGGCCTATGTTCAAGTTGTTCAACAATTCTTTAATCAAGTGGATTTAATATGTTTATTTACAAAAAGACAGAAAACTATTTCCATAGAGCCAGTTCTTTCAAAATCTGTCAGGAAATGATGGTCTTTGTGGAAAGGTTTTGTTTGGATGCGCCTTTCAATGATAATTTGCATTTGAGGGCAAACGTAGCATCTCACAGGCCAGAGTCTCCAAGCATTCCAGGCTTATGTATCTTAACTTTCCTGAATAAAGCCAAGATGAGTGGGACCCTCAGTGTCACTGTTTATCAAGGCAACATGTTGCATTATACAAACAAGAACAACACTTGAAATCTTCCAATTTGACATCTGACCTTTAAAATATTGGTTAGCTTTGCAGTTTAAAGTGAGATCTATACATCAAGATGATGATGGGAAAATAGTGCAGCACCTAATGGCTATTATCACATGATGGCAACAGTTCTATCGGAATACAAAAAATTAAAACAAATTCATTTAAATACGCTGTAACTCACATTTTCCCTGTTCAAATGCACAAAGAAGCAGTGGGTTTCTTTAAACTGGGTCACTGTTGAAATGCAGGAAACCACACATAGGCCCTATGTACATGTACGTAGTTTTAAGGGGATGTTTACACAGTTAAAACATAGGCATTACAATTTGAGTGCATGTCGTTTCTGGGGCATGATTAAAAGATTAAATTACATCTAATTGTGGGTTCAACAACAAGCTTTGTAACAGCAGCTTGTAAAATGTGCATACACAGTACTACAATGACCACAACAGCAGTTACAGGGGTGGAGCTGATCCAAGTGAATAAATGAATTACAACCAAACCCAGTTTTTTACTAGTTCAAATAACTAACAGCTAATAACTAATAATATACAGCCCGGTATTACGAGTCTTTCTGAGGAAATAGCTGAGGTAGTTTTTGTATAAATGAGGCAAGGGTAAAAGAAAGGTATGGAACAGATTAAAGCATCTCGGCAGCTTGGACGATTAATATTTTAAACATTTGTATGTATTGAGACCAGAGGTTCCAATACTTCTTCCATGAAAGAAAAAGGCTGAGGGGGGACCAGATGCCTCCCCTCATTGTTAATGGTTTTATCATCAGAAATTAGGCTCATTCAGAAATCTGACTGTATAGTTGGAACGGTCACAGGAAAGCAATAGTATATTTGTTTCAACAAGTTCAAAGCATTCATATTTTGTGTTTTTTAAATGATCAATATACTTTAGCTGCAGAGCACCCACAGCAGTGTTTTTTTCATGTCATTTCCTTTAGTAATCTTTGTTTTCCCAGAGCAGAATGTGGTTCCTGTTAGAGCCCAGAAGTTACCAGGGGGTGTGTAAACCTACAAACATACTAAAACCTCGGTAAATGCCACAAGTTTTTTATCTTTCTTGCTAAAAAGAAGACAACAAACAATAAGTAATACAATTCCATTTATTCTTAATCCATTATGAAATTCAACAATGAAACAAAATCTTCATTCAAATGATTTATTTCTAATAAAACAAATAATCTTTTAAGCGCTGTTATAAACTGTTTTTATAGTAGCTTGTTTGGTCATTCTAGATGGTTTTGAAATAATCTTTTTCCAGCTGTGATTACAATACCCATTTATCCAAACTGTGTTTTGCTGTTCAGGCCAAACTTGAAGGGGTTCATCAGTAGATGGGAGACAAGAAAAATGTGCACAATTATATTATAGCTACATGAGCTTCTTTCAAGGCTTTCGGAGTTTATCTATGAAGATAACCATGAGGGAAAAGTTAAATATTTTAACCAATACAACTCTATCCCCCCAAAAATCTACATTGAGACGTTATTTTTCGTATGAAATATATTTGTATTCACTTTGATGACAGTAACACATCTTTTTCTAAAAAATAAAAAGGGAAGGGTACAGCTAAAAGGTAAAGTGAAATAAAAAACATAAGAAGCATAATATTACATTGCAAAAAATTAATTTCACTATACCAAAGTAAAAGCTGTGCAGAGGCTAATGTTAAAAGGTAAAAAAATAAACCAGTTTGAAGAGGGAAAATTAGTTTCTTGGAAAATGGACTGTTGTAAAATGGAAAACTGGTCTAGGGGACAAATATACCTTTTCTTTAAAGTCCCAAATGGCCCTCACTCAGAATGAGGGGGAAAAAAAGACTATCACCTTCTCATCTGCTCTCAGTCCAGATAATAGCCTCTCTGATGCAAAATGTATGTATTTCCTTTCTGCCAAATGAGAATCAGAACTGTTGAGTAGTTGGTATTCTTTCAGACAAGAATTTAACCATCAGGTGAGATGTTTACATTGTTTTAAAAGATGTGTTGCTGCCATCTAAAGTTTCATTATCTCGCTTCAAACGTTCTATGTTCTATAAAATAGTGGTAAAAAGATTATGTTGTCATGAACATTTAACATTCTACTCCCAAACTTAAGAAAATGTTTTTTGAATAGGTCAACTATCTTCTGCTCAAAAACACTGGCTCAGTGTTCAGTAACTCCTCGTGGAATTTCTAGATGCTTCCAACTACTTACCATGTGGCATAATACCAGATGGGGGCTACCGTAAAGACTTTTTAAACTTTACACCTTAGCACCTTTCAACTAATAAATTGCAACAGACACTTTCATCTTATCTGTGGAACACATCCTTAACGCATCATAAAGTACTGGGCCTGGATGCTAGTGGTACAGAACAGACCCACACTTTAATGAACATCAGGTACTTACTGGGTTTAACTGACTTGTCATGCCAGCTGACTGGGTTTTAATGCTGAAAAGTTCATATGGATGGGCTACAGACAACAAAAACAAATACAAAGCGGTAAGTGAAACGGGCAGAGGAAAAAGTTAGGCCACACTAAATACCTTTACGTCCTCTTGTGAACCAGCTCTTGTCGTTTTGCCTGAATAACCAAGTTTACTGTTACAGAGATTGCTTCCTGAGGAACAATCTCCCAAGACTGGGCCATGACACATAACACCGATGAATGTTCTGGAAGACGTTAATGCAGAGGATAGACGTTAACACAAAACCACCCAGCAATACAGACAGGCTGTGGAGGCGAGTCAGAAAAAAAAAAAAGAGAATCAACCAGTTTCCTTAAATCTACCATTTACTAATTCTGTGCTGATTAAAGTGTGCTTGTGACCACTGCATTATAACCCCCGAAAAAAGCCCATTTAATCAAACAAACAAGCTTTATTAAGAACTAAAATTTACAAGATCGAGATTTGCAAAATGAAAGCATGCTTCAGAGGATTCGGGAACATAACCTCGACTTACTGTATTGTTGGGGTTGTTTTGTTCAATGGAGCACACATGCACTTTTCAGTATTAATAAGCATATGTAGGAAAGATAACATCTAAGAAATCAGTAAGCGGAACCAATTTACTGTCTTTCATTGTAATGAAAGTGTATTACACCTAAACGTGAAATTTCACATACAATTGTTTAAATCAAATTGGTTACATGCTATCTTTGGAACAAACGTAGCTAGAAAAATAAAATAAAAACACAACCCACCGCTGTGTTTGCCATGAACATAAAATCTTTAAAATGGTTCTAAACAGTGCTATCATGACAATGATGAAACAAAACGAAGAAAAAAAAAAACTGATGGTAAACTTGAAATACCTGATGAAATCTTGTCACTTAACAGCGCCTTAAAATGTGGAGAAAATAAGACACTATTACAAACCTTTAGGACTCACCTCCACGTACTTCAGGACAAACCAGCATTCGATTTCAAGATGGATTTTATTACAACAGATTGATAAAACATTACAAAGGATGCATACAATTAAGCAGTTGACCAGGAAATAATTAAAAAAACCTGAATTTTTTTTTTGCTAGAATCTTGTGAGTCGTGGCTCTGAATTACTACTTTGTTGGAATCATCTTTAATTGCCGAGACCCTCACCAACCAAGGTTGGGGACGAATGTCCAACAGCACCTATGCGTGCTGTGAGGGCCTCAAACATTCTACAAAAGAAAGAAAAATAACCAAATGTTTACAAGAGAAACTTGCCTTTGTAAGGGGTTGGTATGTTCATGTGTAACTCCAGCAGCTTCAAAAGAAATACGAATCATTTTTACACACTTCACCTCTATGAACCTGAGTGAAACCTATGGGAAAAGAATATATCCTCACATGTGATCATATAACACCAAAAACTGCTCTTCGGTAGTTATGTGGTGTTTTGCTGTTCTCCAACAAACATGTTACAACAAATGTCCATGTGTTCTAACAAATAATGTTTGTCTTCACCACCACTGGTCTGACCACTCTTTGCTTTCAGCTAGCTTTGAAAAAGCACAAGGGTGAGAGAAAGGTGTTAACCCCAAACCTAATGTGGTGGCTGCTTTGCTTCGTCAGTAGCGTCCTGCTGGAGACATGACAGGTGGCCTCATACCCATGGGAGGGCCTCCCTGGTACTGGGGCACCATAGGAGGACCTTGCCCGTAAGGAGGCATCCCTCCAGGCATGTAGCCAGGCATGCCCTGAGGGGGGGCACTGTACTGACCTGCAAAAAGCATGGATGAAGATGTAATGTTTATCAAATTTAGCCACTAGGTAGAAATGGCCTTTCTAATGAGTGGTTCAAAGCTAGACAAAACTGTTCTTACCATGCATGGGATGCCTCATGCCAGACTGCTGTGGTGGCAGACCTTGCTGTGGGGGCATTATGCCACCCACAGCTGCCACTTGGGGAGCAGCCACATGGGCCTGACCAGCCCTGGGTATGAGGCGCTGGTAGCGAGGCAACTGAGCCTTCATCTCCTCCTGTTTGAGGGACAACACATAAAGAATACATTCAGACCACAGAAAGCCTGCTGTGCCCCTTTCAGTACAAAGAAAAACTCACAAAAAGGTAGAGGAATTGGGTACCAATGTTGGCGAGCCCATATTTCAGACTGAGGATATTCAAGTTCAGAATGATCCTTTAACATAACCACAAAAGACAAAACTACTCAGATGTTTAATGGATATACAATCTAAAAGCCCAGTTTAACATTTGAGAGATTCTCTTTGTCTAACTCCATCTCTTTCAAGTTCTTATAGTTGAACCTGGCTTCTAGTCTAAATGTACCATAAATCAGTCATTACTTACTGTGAAAAGGGCAAAACAGAAAGCTCAAGCAACTTACCAGCGAGATATCCTCATCAGGGTGGATCAACTTACTAGTTGCACTCGTGGTGGTGAGGGTGGCAGGCTTACTGGTCACTGTGGCTGGGGGTTTGGCCACAGTATTGCTAGAGGGATTAGAAGAAGTGGAAGAGGAAACAGAGGGCTGGGTATAGGCAGGGAATGTCGCTTTGGGAGGCTCGGATGAGGCGCCAGTGCTAAGGGAGTTTGTAGGTGCGGTTCCTGAAGTGTTCTGCTGTGCCTGTGCGCAAAAACATGAGGCAGAGGAGCAGCCAGTCAATGCTAGTGGAAACTTTGACAAAGTCCAACATGCAAGATCATAAAGACAATTTGAGATGAACAAAAAGGATTATACCCCAGTGTCATCACCTTTGTTTGCAATTTTGTTGACATTGCTGTTAATTATATATATATTATACAGTATCCGAGTCTTGCAAAACCTGCTTTAAGCATTTTTACTAGAGTGGTACAACTCTTTGAATGGATCACCCCAAATTATTACAGATAAAGACAGTAGGGTGTGAAAAGTAATATTGTATACTGTTGCAAAAGTTATTTCAAAGCACAATGAGTAATTCTTGCACATTTCATGCTGCAGAAATCAGGAGAGGAGGTCAATGCCAAGTAAGATCCACATTAAATCCCTTCTTACACTTAAACCAAACCAAGCACATGCAGGTATGAAGCTCACAGGTCTTGCTATAAGGTGGCTTACACAGCAAATACCATAAGTGAGCAGTTGAGTGGGATGCTTAAAAGGTGGACAGGCAAAGTTAATGTGACATGCAGCTGTTTCTGCGTCAGCTTGCTGTCTGTGAGCATACTTGTTGCATGTTAGGAAAGGAAGTCTGGGAGGATGCAGACTGAAGGTCTGCAGGTGAAGTGGAAACAGTTGATGTGCTGCTGTGAACACCAGAACCCATCTGCAGCATGGTGGAAAGGAAATCACAGGATTGGCAAGTAACTTGTCCACACTAACTATCTGGCCTTAATTAAATCATGGCACTGTTTCAAATAGGAAAAGGAATGAAAAATCAATAAAAAAAATAAAGGATTCAGGGGTTAGTCAGAGGAGCGGAGACTTCAGGAATTCAGGGGGGAAGTAAAGCACTTAATTTCTATAAAACCTTACAGCAAAATGAGAATGAAAGAACATTTTTCTCCCTTCATTTTAAGTCAATGTATGCGAGTTGGACCAACCTGTGCCGCACTGGGGAAGAGGGGTTTGGTGATGGCAGGTTGTGCTGCCGGTGCCGTTGGTCTGCTGGGTATTGGTCCTGCTGCAGGAGTTGGGGCCATGTGGGGAATCCCTGGCCGTGGAGCCATATGATGCGGCATTCCTGACAATCAATCAAACACAATCATTTACCAAGCTTGTTCATTTTAATGTATCACCTGATTATTCTGTTTTTAGCCCAAAACATTCAATTTAACAAAGAAGCAACAACAGTAACAAGAAAAATATTCTTTCGAAAACAAGCTCTCACGCATACTAAGGATTTCTACCATGAATGAAAAGTAAAAAATTGTCTTAAAATAGTGCACAGTTTATATTCGTGCACTCCATATATCAACACGCCAGCGTAATGAAAATTTCTTGAATAACTAAAGAGATCAAAGTGCTCTGTTGTGAAATGATTACCTGAAAACTGCAACCAAAACTCACCTGGAGGAATTGCAGGCATTCCAGGCATCATGGGAGGCATCATCCCTCCCATTGGCATCATGCTGAAAAAAGCATTGTCAATTTATTACCCTGAGATACGCACATACGTAAACAATTGAAAAAAACTAAGTTTGGCCCATAAAAAGAGGGTTGGTTCTTACGCTGGTGGCATTCCATGCATAGCAGGAGGCATGCCGTGCATCATGGGAGGAACACCTGGCATCATAGGAGGCATTCCTGGAACAATAAGAGAAAACAAGATGATCTTACATCCAAGTCAACAGACCACATTCCACACAACCTTTTATTTATAACTTCAACTTCAACCACTATGGAGTATTTTAATGGTTGTTTCTACTTGCACCTAATTAGTCACACAATTCATTAAGGACTTCTTGAAGTTAACCTTATTTAAAAAACCATGGCAACAACAAACATCCAATTTCTGATTGACTTGTTTCACATATAACTTAAGTTACAGGCCAGTCAGTCTGGCTTCTGTTTGTTGTAGGGCTGAATAGGTACTAATTGAAAACAATGTTATGTATGACCTAAAAATCGGCCGGCATAAGAAAATGCCAATCCAGACTCCCGGTCCAGTTTTTTTTCTTAAAGTATGATCCCACACGAGCATTAGCATCATCTAACCCACAGGTCTGTGCCCTAATCATTAAGTTATTATAAGAGTAAATCACTGTTCAACATGAGTCTGACAACTAAGTAAGTAGGCTTAATAACTTTAAACTTTAATACACGCTCTGATAGGCCGGTATCTCTATCAACCGGTATCGGATTGGAAGTGTAAATACCATATCTGTATTGGATCAGAAGTGCAAAAAGCTGGATCGGGACATCCCTACTTTGATCATAATTTTTATCACTTCTAAACTTATTTCCAGAATCTTGTCATATTTAAAATACTTGCCTTGATATCCCCCATGAGGAATTCCAGGAGCACCAGCAACAGGAGGGATACCAGGCTGGGTCATTGGAACAGCATAACCTGCTTGGGGGTGGATGGCAGACACTTGCTGAGCTGATGGTCCTGCTTCGTCGTCGTCGTCATCATCATCTGAGTCGTCCTGGTTGTTTGACTTCTTCTTTTGGCTCTCTAAAAAAGAAAAAAATAGATGCCTTGACACTAACATTTGACACCAGCAACAATGACGGTACATATACCAATAACATAATCACAATGTTAAATGGCAAACTTTTGAAGTAATACACATATTTTCATTTTTGTTTTATCCAGTTACAGACAGGATTGTGAACTAACCTTGTGATTTCTGTTCCAATGTTCGTCTTCTTTCCTGCATGTCTTTCTCTGGAATTCCCTCCATCCCATAGATCTCAAGCTCAATGTCCGTTCTCCCAGGAATTGCATTTGGAACACTGTCAATAGTCTCTTTGTGGACCTGAAACACATTAAGCATGAGCCAGATCCATTTCTAGTAAAATATTTAAATCTTTAGAGGTGACTGCCCAGCAGAACAAGACTCATACCTGCATGCAATGAATAGCCAAGCCTGGACCAGTGTATAACTTCTTGTGACAAATATGGCATTTAAAATGCTTTGCCTTCTGATGCTGGATGAGGATTTTTTCATCATCAAAGTCTCGATTGCAGTACCTTTAGGAAGCAATTAAGGGGTAATCAAACAAACATCTCAGCAAATATAAGTTTTTTTAAGACACAAGCCCAGTTATCGAGCAAGTCGCTAAGCAGCTTTCATTTGGCTGTTAGCTAACAAGTTATATAAGGCTGGGGGGATATTTATTTCTTTTAAAACAGTCACACACTTAGATTAAGTTGCAGCCACTTAAAACACTAAACGATATCTGTTTAGGTAATATAAAAATAACAGGATCAGATCGAATAAATTATTCCAATAGGACTCAGACCATAATGCTAACGTTAGCTTCTGAAACCAAACACGCCCGGATAAGATACTTTGGGCCTTCCTTTGTCAAGCTAAAACGTAGCCTATGGCCTTCCAGCGGCAGCGTTTTGCCGTGCAGTCAAAAAGGATACCAGCACCATGGCTTCATCTGCTTCTTCTTCTTTCGCCCCATTATACAAAAATAAGTGAAATAGGTTACAAAAGGTATATACTCTTGACTATTATATTGACAATATTATATTTTAGATAATAGCATGCTGTAGTCCCGTGACGAGCGTGAAAATGGCGCTTTGAAGAAGGAAGTTATTTGCTCTCTCTATAGTCTCGCGCAATCACAAAGCAGACGTCACTGATACGTCACATCTCAAACAGGAAACAGGTTCATCCCTCAAATTAATGCAGTAAAGAGCGTATTCAGTTGATTGTAAATGATAGTAAAATGCAATGGTCATGGTAACACATTTAGGATTAGGTTAAAATTTGGTCATTAAGCTGCGTCCACCTTAGATTGCTATTATTTATACAATCAAATGGGAACATAAATGGATGCAAGCAGCGGCTTGTAATGAGCATGCAATCGATTGATAGAAGTTATTCACAATATAGGCTACCTTTTATTTTGAACTTTGCATATATATATATACAGTACAGACCAAAAGTTTGGACACACCTTTTCATTAAAAGAGTTTTCTTTATTTTCATGACTATGAAAATTGTAGATTCACACTGAAGACATCAAAACTATGAGTTAACACATGTGGAATCAAATACTTAACAAAAAAGTGTGAAACAACTGAAAATGTCTTATATTTTAGGTTCTTCAAAGTAGCCACTTTTTGCACTGATGACTGCTTTGCACACACTCTGCATTTTCTTTCTATGTATATGTATATGTATATATTTGTTTATTTTTTTATTTCATTTATTTTAATTTGATTTTATTATATATATTTGTTTATATTTTTTAACCCCACCTTAAAGCCTGTCTGAGGGTCTCTGTGGGTCTTCTGGTGCTCAGGGTCCTATTGACCTCTCTGCTCCCTGGAGGGGGTTGGCAGCAGCCCTATGCACCCATTGCTGAGCACAATTCATGTTAATTTATGCAAGAGCTATATCATATTTTGTACACGCTCAGACACAAAAACACACGTAAGTGCTCATACGTTATCTGCACTGATCTGCAGCAAGAACATTGAACATGTTGGTGTTGTTGCTGTCTCTGTATTGTTTTTTAGTTAGTTTATATATATACACACAGTCATTTGTGGCTGATGCTAGTGAGCTGATGACTATTTGTAGGCGATCACTTTCTACTGAGATAAATACAGTTTTTAAAGAGTCGAATGGTGTTAGGCCCACAGTGCAAGTTTTAGACACAGATTTGTCATCTTGTTTATCTGTGTGGTTTGATTGTTTTGTGTTTTTCACTAAAAAACCTGTCAATTTTTTTGTATTTCTCAGTATGGAGTGGAGGTCTGGGTTTAACTGTTTGGGAGCATATTTTTGTTTTTTGCACATAGCAAACAGAATTTTACATTTTTGATAATAAAAATAAATTCACAATTAAACAGTATTACTTAGTTCACCACAAAGAAACAACTGAGATCTAACAGCTTGCAGGTTTGACCAACATTACAGTCAAAATTTTAACTTTTAAGTGTCTCACAATTACATTTAATACCTTTATCCAGCTAACAAAAAATGCTCAAACATTGATTTACAGAAAAAGGCAGGATGTAAAAGGATACCTGGATGAGTTCCCTGGATATTTCCTAAGGTGTCCTGGATGAATAGTGAGAAAGAAAGAAATTTGCATTGCTTGAGAAATCCCCACTGTTCTTACTGGTTCTTTGCCTCAGTCAGTGATAACAGGGGAGCTCTGCAACATCTTACAGTATTTGTGTGGTTTCTGGCAGGCTTTCCTGTGAATACACAGGAATCATAGTAGATACAGTTTTGCAGACTTTGCAGAGTTACCAAACTCGCAGATGGAGTTTGATCACCGATCCCTTTTAACTAAACAAGAAGTGACTGGCAGAGTCAAAACTAATGGAATTTTAAAGACCTCAGAGGCTATTTGTGTCTCTTTTAGCATAGCAAATGCTGTAAATCAAACTAATCTGAATAATAAAATATATATTTTAGAGGAATGGGCAAGAGGTGGACACATCAGAGGGCCCCGGTGAGCCAGAGCAGCACCAGGTCTCGCACCGGCCCACCCCTATCACGGCAAGCCTGAGGCGACCAGACCCCCCCCCGACCCCGGGGGGGGGGGGAGCTTCCCCCAGGGCAGAGAGGCCGCACCCGGACCCCAGGGCCCAGGCCCCGAAGCCCGGGGCCCATGCCCGAGCAGACATGATTTTTGAAGGAAAAGTAATACATCATCTGCATAAAGACTGATCTTATGCTCTGAACCTTGGGGTTGGATTCCATTGATATTAGTATCCTGTTATATAGCAGCTGCTAAAGGTTCAATAAAAATGTCGAAAAGCGATGGGGAAAGTGGGCAGCTCTGTCTGGTCCCTCTCTGTAGGCTGAAGCTTGCAGAAGTTTGGTCATTAGTCTTGACACGTGCATTTGGAGAACTGTATAGTATTCTTATCCAGTTGATGAAGTTTGATCCGAACCAAAATTAGTCTAAGGTTGCCAGCAGGAATTTCCAGTTAACTCGGTAGAATGCTTTTTCAGCATCAAGCGATAGGATTATAGTTTCCACCCTGTTGATGGTGGAAAAATCTATAAGATTAATGAGCCTGCGCATATTTGTGGATGAGTGTCTACTCTTTATAAAAAACCTGTCTGGTCCGGATGTATTATGAAGGGATTCTTTTTTTCCAGTCTTTTGGCAAGGGCTTTACAAATTATTTTAATATCAGCATTTATTGGTGATATTGGGCGGTAACTGGATGGAAGTACAGGATCCTTCCCTTTCATGGTCATTCTGGACACTTTCTAAAACTCCAATCCAGAACCTTTCATCTCTGCCTGAAGATCAGGAGTGGTCTTCCTTCTGTTTCGGGTCCTTTAAATCTTGAGGTGTGTGAAATCTGCTTCAGTTAACTTTTATTCACTGTAATAAACTAAATCGCCCTTGACCACGGTGAGAACACTTTGTGCCTCCTCTTGTCTCAGAAACTATCCAACATCACAAAATGCATTAATTTGGACTCTTTCAATAGCGCTGTAATCTGCGTTTACCTATTTTAAACTAATCACGATTTGAAACCAAATCCCTCTTTTATACAACTAAGAACCACAAAGATTCTCAAGTCAGAAGCACCCAACATTCCAGCAATAAAACTATTGTTCCTTTTCAGGAATGACAGTAACGTAATACATTTTGATATCTTACTTAAGAAATGTGTTTTTTTAAATGATATTCTATTGTTAGACATATAGTTTTGGCTGAAGACTTTCTACATTCTTGTGTATCAACAATTACAGAAACATAAAGTAGTCATTTTGGCAACTACTAGTGTTGTTCATTTTGAATCGCTGCTGCTGTCCTGCATAGTTAGATATCTATCTTATGTCAATTTGCCCTGCAATGCCATTGTGCAGTAAGTTTCCAATTCTGGGCTTAATAAAGTATATGTTAGCTTTATTAAAGGGTCAACCTGTATTTTGATCCACTAGATGGAGACATGTTCCAGAAAGAGACCAAAGTCTTCAGGCATCTGGTTTTAGACCTGTCAGGGGACTTTGAAGTTTGCTGTTACAGTTTAACCGTGATGTCAATAGTGAGGGTGAAATATTTTTTTTACTTTCTTAATAACTGCTGTACGGTTTTCATACCCAAGACAACTAAATTAATCATCGTGCAGAGTGATAAACTAATTCTGAACCTATATTCTGTACGTTTTTTTTTTGGTTATTACTAACAGTTTTGCAGAAACACTTCATTAATGTACAATTAACTGAGCAATTGATGTTAGACAGGCAATATTTTCATTTAGTTTTTGTATAAAGTATATCAAGCTGTTTCCTAAAGATTCACTTTACACTTACACGTCAAAATGTGGATGCAGTGTAAAATACCAATATTCACATCATTTCACACGACCAATTTTATCAATTGAATTTTTTTTTATTGCAGTTTTTGTGGGTTATCTTAATGGGGATCTCTGAAGGTGTGGACTAAATTCAAAACAAGATAATATTTCAATACTACCACTCTCTGAGGCGAACATGATGCAGTGATTCACTACTATATTAGACAGATTTGACTTTGCCAACATTTTCTTTTTCTCTATGATGATTAATTACCTCTAAAAAGTTAAGAATTAAGGCAAGGCAAAACAACGAAAAATTATTTGTACAGCACATTTTTGTGGACAGGAACATTCAATTGACATACAAGACATTGTTTACATACAATGCCAACATGCCAACAGACTTAACAAACTCATCCGCAAGGCCAGTCACGTTGTTGTAGAGGAGCTGGACTCTCTGACAGCAGTGTCAGACAGAAAAATGTTGGCCAGGATAAAATCCATGCTGGACAATTCTGCACATCCTCTTCATGATGTGCTGGTCACCCACAGAAGCACCTTCAGTCAGAGACTCATTTCACCACGCTGAACCGCAGAGCGCCACAGGAAGTCATTCCTGCCTGTGGCCATCAAACTGTATAATTAATCTTTCTGTCAGTCATTTTCTATCATTACTTATCATCTATTTATTGTATCACTTCACTTTGTGCAATAACCCGTTCATGTGCAATAATAGCAATTTAGGTACTGAGCAGCATTGTTAATACTGTTGATTGTAAAATTTATTTAATTTTTTTGTTCTGTTAACGGGTGCACTGCAAGAAAAGAATTTCCAGCAAGGGATTAATAAAGTAATTCTTATTCCCAAATATTTTACATAGTCAGCATATGTATGCAATCTCTTGTGTATCCACAAGTCTTGAAGTGTATATTTCAAGGCTTGTGGACCCTTTATTTCTGAATGAATTACCTTACAACATGGGCAGTGAGGTAAGGAGCACCAGTGAAAATTGGTTGATTATACTCTGATCTTTTTGACACATTCAATAACTGATTGATAGATGGTGAATTTAGAGTTGTTTGGGGTTGTTTCCAATTAGTGGGATAATGATCAAGTGTGATAGAGAATTTTAAAAGCATAAAAAGTACACAGATCTCTCAAAGTCACCACTTGTTTGAGGCATTGTTTGAAACAACTGATGGAGCTGTTAAAGGTCAAAATCAATTCTGGAGAGTTTGAAATCCACTAGTGCAGAATTAGACAATGCGTTTAACTAGTGGAAATTCAAAAGCACTTATTCCACAAGCAAATTAAACAATCTTTCCAAAAGT